CCCCAAAACCCCAAAACCCCAAAACCCCAAAACCCCTAGCACTAAAATAAAAATTGAAAGTAATTTGTTTCGATTATTGATAAAAATGATTTCATAATTATATTAGAAAATTATGGCTAGGAGCACTACAAGCCTGTGTAGAGCTTTGTAAGATCCTCATCGATGTCATTGAGGCTATCTGTGTCACTCCCGCTACCATGGTTATCAGATTGATGACTTGCTTTATCTCCTCTCATTAATTGCTCATATTGTTCTTCAAGATCAATATCTCTTTCATTTAGATCACTTTGGCCACCAGGAGATGCAAGATGGTTGTTTAAAATAACTCTTTCATTCAATGAGTCAAAGGAACTTCTTTTTGGAGTGTCTTTCACAGGGATATTTAGATATTCTTGCTGGACCTGAGTATCATTCATAATTTTCACTGATTTCTCCTTCATTGGAGTGAATTTATCTTCTTCTTGAGGTGTTGCATGATTTGTTTCGTTAACTTCAATAAAGGTTCTCTCATCTTGCCCACCTAAGATTTCATTCATTGCATTATCAACCATTGTAACATGCTCGCTGATTTTATTAGTTTCTAAGTGACTTTTAGTCGTGATCAGTGTGTCGAGAACCTTTGTCTCTTCTTTCGGGAGAATTTCTTTACAAAGAGTCTCTGCAAGTAGAGTATCCTCTTGAGAAGTTACAATATCCTTTGGGAGAGTTTCTGTATTCATTTTTGAGGATTGGTACTCATCCTCTATCTCATCTATCTCATCCAGAATATCTCTGTTATCATACTGAGGTTTAAATTTGATATTCTTCTTTCTCAAGGATCCAGAAGATTGAGAAGGAAGTGGGTTAATGTACTTGAATTCTTTCTTACCTCCTCCACCAATCCTCTTTTCAGTAGTGTCATATTTATTCATGATAGATCTGAGCTCTTCTTCGTCAGGATCTCTTCTGGGTTGACTAGTTTTTGGTTGGGAGAGTCTCTCCACAATATTATTGACTTTCTTAATACTAGCTTTCTTCTTTTTGGTACTGCTCTCTCTGGATTCATCAGGATCGGGTCCACTGATCTGGTTGAGCAAGCTATCAACAGAGAAGAGTCCATTCTTCGGTGGAGCTTGAGGAGGGATAGGTTTTGATACTTTCTCTCTAGTTGCCTTCTTTTGTAGCTCCTCATCAAGCTTCTTCTGCTCTTCAATATGAGCATAAATTTTATTAATAGCTTCATCCTGTTTCGCAGCCTTGTCCTCAATATTGTGCAACTGAGATAGCTGAGTAGCTGTTTTTGGATTCACATTATCGTTGATATTTGTAGGAATTGTGACTTTATTGCTGCCACCAGTATCCCATTTCTTTCGCTTACTTCTTCCTGATTTATTGAATTCCTTCTTAACTTCCTCTGCTCCCTCATCTACTTGTACTGAATCGGTTCTATTTTCTGTTTTCTGAGCAACTGTATTATAGATTAGCATGGAAAGTTTCAAAATAAATAAGAAATCTATTGGACCGTATAAATGCCTTTATTGCCTTCTTAGCAGAATTTCTGTCTTAGAGATAAGGACATTAAGAATAGCTTGGAGTAACAGACCTAAAGGGACTTTACAACTAACCAAGGACATCCTACTACTTCATGGACAAATGGGCCTTACCTTCCGAAGAGATTATCTGCTCGGCGTTTTGTAGTTCTTCCTGAACGATTCTGTGCTGATAATATTTTTCTTCCTCAGAAGTTTCTTCAGGAAGATTAGAAAATTCATTGTTGATGTGAGATAATGGAAGTTGGTTATGCTCTTCCAGATTGGTGAACTGTTCTGATTTACTTTCCTCAAGCATAAACCTCTCAAATCTGGTACCTTGTCTATTTTCTAATGGAGGAATGTGATTTCCAGGAATTTTCCCTCTAATTGGCCGATCGGCTAAGTCAGACTGTGGAGGCTTCTTAAGTCTCACGAGAGGTTTCCTTTTTGTTACTCTTGAAGAAGATTGTCTTTGCAAATTGTTATTTTGATTTTTAACTTCTTCCCTATTTGACTGTGCTATCTCTTTAGCAGCAGGGGCAGGAACCCATCTTCCCTGGCTATCAGCATTAAGATTTTTGAGTTTCTTAAGTTCTTCAAGTCTATTCTTTTTCTTTTTGATGCTGATTCGAAATCCTCCTGCTCTGGGAGCTGATTTCTTTTTCTGCTCAATGTTAACTCCCATGTTGGGATCTCTTCCAATCCCCCTATAAGAGGTATTCTGGGCCTTAGTCGAGTTAAAAACAACAAAATTATCCCGTTCCTTAGCTCTGTTCCTTTTCTCTCTGGAGGGAGGGAGCTGAAAACCTCCTGCTCTGACAGCAGACTTGCTAGTCTGATTATTATATACAGTTGTATGCTTGTTCTTTGTCTGGGCTCCAAATCCTCCGAAAAAAGGGCGGTTTGCTATCCATTTATCCTTATCATTCGCTCTGTTTTTTCTCTTGGAGGATACTTTCGGTGGTTTGAAATCAAAAGCACTTGGAGCAACTTGATGAGCTGACATTTGTTCAAAATTCAATATTTGTATAAATAAAAGGGGTTTTGGGGTTTTGGGGTTTTGGGGTTTTGGGG